TAATGGCAGTCACAAGTGCAAAGGCTGCAGCCAAGCCGGCTGACAACACAGTCTTTGTACAACCCGTGCTGACTGACCCAGACATCATCCAACTTCAGAAGTCGGATCCTGCGATAAACTCGATGATGCTGAACTTGACTGACCCAGAGAAAAACACTCCGTCCAAAGCCGACCTGGATTCCAATCCAGACCTTAAAGTCCTCTTTCAGCTGCGCAAACAGCTAAAACTAATCAAGGGCATCCTAACTTTTGCTCATGGACTGACATCCTCACCCTTGTTCGTGGTCCCCCATGACCACAGGGGGGTGATGTTAGTTCATGCGCATGACCTCCCGTCCGCAAGACACAAGGGAGATAACGCCACGCTGAAAGCATTAAAACAAGTTGCTTATTGGGCTGGAATGAAAAAGGATGTCAAGAACTATATAAAAGGGTGCCTGGTCTGTGGCCAGTTTCAGCCATCCAGACCACTCCACAGAGCACCACTGCAAAGTAGAGGCATTGCATTCCCATGGTCCGACCTCCAGATCGACTGGGTTGGACCACTTACTAAGAGCACTAGAGGAAATAAATATTTTCTCACGGTAACTTGCGCATTTACCAAATGGGTAGAATGCCTACCAGCTCCTAACGACACAGCACAAACAACTGCTATGTTACTAATGAATCATGTATTTTCAAGGTTTGGACTTCCCCTTAGGGTGAACTCAGACCAAGGTACGCACTTCACAGCTGAAGTGATGAAAGAACTGTGGAAGATGCTAGGCATCAAAGTCAACTTTCATGTTGGCTACCACCCACAGGCCTCAGGCCAAGTAGAGAGAGCAAACAGAACTGTGGTAAGTATTTTGAAGAAATACATAGCCGCAAACCACAAGGACTGGGACGTGAAACTCCCTCTGGTCCTCATGGCCATAAGGGCCACTCCACACACATAGACTGGCATCTCTCCCTTCGAGATGATGACGGGTCGACAAATGACTCTCCCTCTACACCTGTTGTACCAACCAGGCGATGCCGCCATGGCAACAGCCTATACCACACAACAATACATGAATGACTTGGAAAAACACCTTAAAAACACCTTTGCGCTTGCCAGAGAAACCTGGAAAAATCCGCTGAAGGACGAAAGGCGTACTATGACCAAATGGCCTCTCACGAGGAACTCCAAGTGGGAGATAGGGTCTGGTACTACACGTTCACCCCCACAACCGGGAAAGGAGAGTCCGGGACCGGACCTCTCTCCCGCAAACTGATGCCCAGGTGGACTGGACCCCACCTGATAACAGACAAACTGTCTCCAGTTGTCTATCAGATCAAAATCAGCAAAGGCCAAAAGGAGCCAATGGTTAAATGGGTACATCGAAACCAGGTTAAACTACACAAGGCGTTCAATAACTCCACAAGAGACAAAGATCTCACAAACTCAGACCTAGTGGGAAAAAAGGTCGTCCAAGCAGAAACTAAATAAGTTTAAGCTTAATTAAGTGTTAAGATAACAACTCAGACACGATAACATGATCAAATCTGACAGTCAGAGTGAGTGACGCACTGAAATGTCGTTTTCTAGTTGCTTAATCACTACTTTTGTCAATCTTGAAACATTGTTTTTCTGGTTGCTTAATCACTATTTTTGTCGATGTTGAGACATCGTTTAATTGGTTTTTGGTATTGTTTCTGAACACCCCCAGCAAGAATGAATTTTGTGTGTACTTTAGTTCGAGACTAAAAGGACTTTAACTATGCCAACATGCAGTTCATTTGTTAAAATTCAATCTTTGAGGAGTCAATGTAGATTAATGCTACCTTAAGTACCATAACCTACATTGGTCTCACGACGCTCAAGCCAAACCTACTCAAACAATCCTATTCGGGGGTGGGGGGGCTAGCTAATCCTTCAGTTGAGTCTCGCCATAGACTCCAAAAACATTTAAGGGAAAACCAAACCTCAAGTCGTTCGTCTTAAAGGACAACAGACAATTGAACCAAACTATATTTTGCCATGTAAATCTAACTTAAGCCAAGTTAGGAATGGAAAAATAGTTTGGAATGCCCTTCTATAGGTACAAATCCCTATATAAATTTTTAAGCATGACCCACCCTTTAAACTGGTAACTGTAGCTGATCTAAACCATGATAGCTTACACATCAGGTGCTTATAGGTTAAGGTCTTATGTAAAATCTCACTCATAAACCCAACTAAAACCACATAAATGCATAACACATAGAACCAGAATGGCACCCACTGGGAACCACCAGCAGCAATCTTCGCTGAAGGGACCTACAACTCCAACGTGGGTCTCCAATCTCCATTCAGTGGTCGCCTCTGCAGTTCAATCGAGGGAACCCCTCTGCATGCCAATCAATCAACACCTCCAATCGTTGTGGATTTATCGTTGTGGATTATATGACTTTTTCCAATGGATTACAGACTTTGTTTCCAAGGGGTTAAAGCATTGCAACAACGGAATTACCAACAACATTATGGAATTACCAACAACATTGTGGAATTACCTAAACTGTTGTGGGATTACCTTCTTTGACTTTTGTTTGTTGGATTACATCAAGATCAAGGATATTCGGAGGCGTAAGTTCATGTTGGAATTCTTCCCCATGGACAGGTGATGATTTCCAAAGGGGGGACTGTAGTGAACTCGGCATCTGACCAAAACCTGCCTCTGAAGACCTTCATGGGACAGGAACTGTTATTTCATTGATTTGAATCCAGAAATACAAATTAGTTCATCCAGAGACTGTTTTATTGTATCCTGAAGTAATCAATGTAACGAGTCTGTATGGATCGGCACAACACCTGACTCAGGACAACATTAAAATAAAAGGTTTTATTTTATTAAAGGCGTTCGTCTGAAGGATCTGAGCCTCAGTTCTGGTCCAATCTATGAAGACAGACAGGTTAGTGACTGCAAAAAGGTTCTGGGAGCTGAGAGGTGGTGTGCACGTCACTAACCTTCTGTGGCAGGAGCAGAGCTGAGACAAAGAACGTTGGAGGGCTGGGCAGGAAACAGAATCCAGGGACGTAGCAGGGGTCGAGAGCCAGGAGCTGTGTGAACAGGCAAAAGGATGATCCAAAAAGGAGAATCCGTGGTCGTTGTCAAAGAGGGGAGCAAGGTCGTACCGTGTAAGCTGCAGGCGTGGTATCCAGACAAGGGCAAGACAAGGCGAGGAGTCAAGAACAAAGCTGTGGTCATAAACAAAGAAACTGTGGACGAGGACTGCTGGATAATTTACTTGCTGTGAGGCTTTCAATAATCTGGCACTGAGGAGAGTGAGAGTGGAGCTTAAGTAGTGAGCTGAACAGGTGTGGCAGGTGAGTGGTGATTGCAGAGACAGGGTGCAGCAGATGAGTGCAGATTGCTGAGAGAGAGTGACAGGAGCAGAAAATGGGTGATAGGCAGTGCAGGACCAAACAGGATGAAATAAACAGAAAACTGAGGCAGGAAAAAACGTGAATGATCTTAAAGCAGGGGCTGTGATATGAAGAGCAGAGGCTTAGGCAGATGGGGGGGCAGCGGGGGCCGCTGAGCGTGACAATCAATTGAAAGAACACTCTTGTTTTTATATTATCATTACTATTTTACAATATCTTGATAATCAAAAAGAGTGTTAAGTTCATATCATTGCTAAAGTTGAAGTGAACTACTCATTTTAAATCAGCTGTGAAACAGTATTAATGATTTTTTTTACACCTCATTTAAATTAGAAATCAAGTTAAATGTCTATTTACAAAGTAGTTATGCATTTTGATTTTCTGCCTAAAGGAGAAGTAGTGATGTCGGTCAAAAGTCGGAGACAGTCAGAGGGAAGTTATTAGAACAGGCTGTATTGTTTTTAAACCTAGCAGACGGTAAAAAGAGAAACACTGGCATTGGCGTTGTCCCACTTCGCCATAACATTTCTCTGTCTGTACTAAACGTTCCTAAACATTCCTGCTGTCTTTTTGACTTTTAATAACCCTCTGACATCCCTGAAACACCCCCCCTGTTGGTTGTTTCAACCAATCAGGAAGTCCTGAGTGACCGGAAGTGAGAACTCTTTAAAAGTCCACACTTCCTGGAACTACTCAGTCTGAGTCTAGTCAAGTCTAGTCTATGGAGTCTTCTCTAGCCTTGTGGAGTCTTCCACATCTGAGTGGAAACTCTGACGGACTCACAGCTTGCTGTGAATCCACCCGGGCGTAATGCCTCCAATTTCGAAGGGAGCTGATCATGTTTGTTGAACGGAGTAAGTCAACACGGCTTCTGACGATGACCAGTCACCCTGACCGGAGACGCTGTAAAGGTAGCGTGCATAGAGACATCTAGACCGGAGCTGATCCATCATCTGCAAAGATAAAGAGATGTCGCGCACTAAGTGGACCGGGGGGTTTTAGCTGGTGTTGAAAGAAGTGTGCTAATTCTGGTCAACAAACATACATCTTCCCTCATCCATCTTCCATTTAAACTCCTTCAATCCTTCCTTTCAACTCTTCTATTTTGCCAGTAATGTAGATGCCTTCAGAAATGTCTTGTTGTCTTATTAGTAAAGCATGCCAAGTTTTATTAATCAGAACCAGATCAGCTAATCACGTGTACATGTTTTGATGTTAAATTTTGATTATGTTAAATAAATGACCACATTTATTCTGATGGGTCAAAGTTAAATTAACATCTCTTGTCACTGATTAAACAATCTTCACAGTTACCTCGTCACATGGCCTTAATTTAACTCGAAAAAGAGAGAACCCGTTATATTTAAATAATTAGTAGTGAAGGTACAACAAAGCTGACCTTGACACACTACACCACCATCTCTACTGTGCATCTAGATTTGCATGTCTGAAACTATGATATGTATATCCATATTCCCCCAAACACTTTTGTGCTCTTGGAGCCATCTGTGTATAATTTAAGGTAGCTGTTCTTAATAGAACACATGCGTGCCTGTTCATATGAGACAGATCTTGACAACATATACCAAAGCATAGCTGGGCCAGTTGTAGAATGCCATCATTACCAAAACCTGGCCCATATCTGCCATGTAAACAGTACCAGATTGAGACCAAGTCTGGCCCAAACCTGCCTGCTATGCGGGTACCCATTGGCCTTTAATACAGCATGAAGGTTTACTTTTATTTTTACTCTTTTTTGCATTATTTTAATGGTTTTCTTTAGTCTTATATTTTTTGTACATTTTTATGGTCTTTTTTATTCAACATAGTCTTTTTGCTGTTTGTTTAGTGAGCAGCATTTAACCATGTTAGATGTGCTACACAAATAAATATAATTTGAATTTGATTTGACCTCAAGCACCTTGCAAGCCTACAAGGTGATGACTATCAAACTCAGTGCAGAGTTCTTTGCATCCACAAGGCATTCTCTGGTCCTGCTGATGTTGTCTCATGGTTTTGACTGTCTGATGCTTTAGTAAATGCTTTATAACTACATTTCTGAGGTCATCAGATATATCTCTTTTGTTAGTTTTAGTTGTGTTAGTTCATTGCAAATTCCATCATTTATATACCCAATGATCATCTGCATGTGTGCCAAATTACATCCAAATCAGATTATTTCTTCAACTTTTATTGTCAAGAATGTAAACGTATTCTGTCAGCTTCAAACAATTCTCAACATATTTTGTGTTCTTCTAGGTGTTGGAAAATGACATGAATGAATTTGTAAAGAATGAACTGATGAGAATAAAGAACATCCTGAGTCCAGAAGGCCCAGATAGGCTTAAAGAAGTCAATGAAGAAACAGCTGGTGAAGAGCAAACAAAAAGCAACCGAGAAGCATTTGTAAAGCTTGCTCTAAACTTCCTGAGAAGAAGAAAGCATGATGAGCTGGCTGAATATCTGCAAAACAGTAAGATTGTTCCATTTTCTCTCATGACCTTGTACATCAGTTTGTGCATTATTATTATTATTTGTAATAATGCATGAAGAATGGACTTTGTTCTCACATATTTGCTGGCAATCACTGTAAATTCATAGACTCTTTTGTGTCTTTAGAAACACACGCCATGATTTCTCAACAAAAACTGAAGACTAATCTAACAAGAAAGTTTCAGTGCTTGTTGGAGGGTAATTCCTGGGAAGGCAGCCCAAAATGTGTGAATCAGATCTACACTGAGCTCTACATCACAAAGCATAAGAGACAAGAAGTCAATAATCAACCTGAGGTCCAACAGACAGAAGCAGCATCTTGGAAACCAGCAGATTTAGAAACCATCAAATTTGAGAATATTTTTATCCCTGAAAGAGATGAGCCAGTCAGAACCCTGGTGACCAAAGGAGTTTCTGGCATTGGGAAAACAGTCTATACACAGAAGTACATTTTGGACTGGGCTGAAGACAAAGCCAACCACAACATACACTTTATCTTCCCATTCACTTTCAGAGAGCTTAATTTACTGAAAGATAAAACTTACAGCTTAGTGGGACTCATTCATTACTTTTTCACTGAAATTAAAGAAGCAGGAATTTGCCACTTTGACGAGTTCCAGGTTTTGTTCATCTTTGATGGTTTGGATGAATGTCTGCCTCCCCTGGACTTCCACAACACTCAGATCCTGACCAATATTAATGAACCTACCTCAGTGCATGTGCTCATCACAAACCTCATCAGGGGGAAGCTACTTCCCTCTGCTGTTCTTTGGATAACCACACGACCGGCAGCAGCCAATCAGATTCCTCCTGAGTATGTTGACATGGTGACAGAAGTCAGAGGATTCACTGATGCACAGAAGGAAGATTACTTCAAGAAGAAATTTAATGATGAGAAGCAGGCCAGCAAGATCATACGCCACATTGGGACATCACGAAGCCTTCACATCATGTGCCACATCCCAATCTTCTGCTGGATTACTGCTACAGTTCTGGACCATGTCCTAAAGAAGATGGAGAAAGAAGAGCTACCCAAATCCCTGACTGAGATGTACATCCATTTCCTAGTTGTTCAGGCCCAACTGGACAATGCAAAATATCACTCAAGATCTGAGACACATACCTTATGGAATGCAGATACAAAGAAGATCATTCTTGCTCTGGGAAAACTGGCTTTCAAACAGCTGGAGATGGGAAACCAAATGTTTTATGAAGATGATCTAAAACAATATGACATAGACCTAACCACTGCCTCAATTTACTCAGGAATGCTCACTGAGGACTTGAAGAGAGAGAGTGGACTGAACCATGAGAGGATGTTTCGTTTTGTTCATCTGAGCATTCAAGAGTTTCTAGCTGCTCTTTACGTTTTTCTTAAGTTCATGAATTCTGGTGTCAATCTACTAAGAAAAAAGCGTAAGTCAACTCTGCAGGATCCTAAATATGAACGGCTGTACCAGAATGCAGTGGACAAGGCTTTGGAGAGTCCAAATGGCTACCTGGACATGTTTGTCCGCTTTCTGTTGGGACTTTCACAGAAAGATAATCAAACACATTTACGTGGTCTGATAAAAAAGAGAGGAAAGCAGTCACAGGTCAAAAAACTGCTTGTACAGTACATCAAAAAGAAGATCAGTGATTGTCCAACTGAGAAAAGCATTCGGATGTTTTACTGGCTGAACGAACTCAATGACCATTCTCTAGAGGCAGAGATCCAACAATACCTGAAGGGAAATGACTTTGTAAAGGAGCTCACTCCTTCTCAGTGGTCAGCACTTGCCTTCATCTTGTTGTCTTCACAGAAAGATTTAAAGATATTTGACCTGAAGAAATTCTCTGCTTCAAAGGAGGCACTTGTGTGGCTGCTGCCAGTGATCAAAGAATCAAACAAATCTCTGTATGTATAAAAACAGATATCAAATATTACCAGTTATATAGT